GCTCAATACCTTATTCTTGCAATATCAATACTATGATTATAATAATTTGTTACTCGATTGACTTTGGTGCCTGGCAAAAAATATATATATATTCAAACAGGCGAGAGCGCATCAAAGTAGCCTGCGTAGCAGCCGTTTCCTTTCCTTTTCCAGGCAAAGAGATGGAACGAGCGAGCGAGCAAGCGGGCGAGCGAAAGAGCACGCCTGGGGTGAGCAAAAACTTTTCAGTTTCGTTCCCTTCGCGTGCTTTTTTGGAAGCGCTGCTACGCAGGCTAGCATCGAAGAGGATTCGTAATGACATAAACCGTATTCCCTCGATTCAACACCTACACCGATTAAATAAGTGCCCCTTTTTGAACAAGTGGCCCACAGAATCATGAAATTTTAAATATATAAAGATCTGTAAACTCGATCTCNGCTAGCATCGAAGAGGATTCGTAATGACATAAACCGTATTCCCTCGATTCAACACCTACACCGATTAAATAAGTGCCCCTTCTAGAACACGTGGCCCACAGAATCATGAAATTTTAAATACTTAAAGGTCTGTAAACTCGAGCCACCCCTATCTCTCAACGAAACCAGAATGAATGCAAAGCAAATTTACCCCAGGTTCTCACCAAAAATTTCTTGTATTGAGAGGAAGGCTTAAGGTTAATTAATGCAAAAAAAGCTTGTAAACTTACCGTGAAGACGATGATGATAATGGATCAGTCGTGATACTCGTATGCATTGTGAAACTACAGAAGAATAAAACAAGTCAATAAAAAAATGCTGCTGGATAGTTCTTTATCACTGTTGTTCAATAACGTAGTTAGCATCTTTTGCGGAGCAAGAATATCGAAAAGAGACAAAAAAAATTGCGCCTGTACCCCAGTCTCGCATATTTTTTACGTGTTCCAGTTTGTCCCTGGTAGGTGAAGCAAAAATCAGGAGAGTAAGATTACATGGAGGTAGTTGGCATGCCTTCCAAAGGTTACCCTGCCTTCAAGCGTGTGACCCCTACAACCAGGGAGCCCCTCCCCTCGAACCAACCTCACTTCTCTTGTAAACTGTTCGCTGCTATTTATATTGAAATGTGTAAAAAGCTCTCTCGCCGGGGGCAAGGGGGAAGGGGGAAGATTCTGTATTGAGGGAAGCCATCTAACCAGGGAGAAAATGTTTTCGTCGTAAACAGGCTATCATGTTTCACG